TCTTACTTTATGTATCAAATTTTTATCAAATTTGATTCTGTTTTTTGCGACTTTGTAAATCTTTTAATGTAGTTTCTGAATATGTAATTTTATTTTTCTAAAAATAATTTGCGTGCGGACAGGGATCTGTTTGCTTTATCGTCGGTCAAACATCGTAAACCGCAATGAGACAATAACAGGGGGACGGAGGGAGTATTTATTTGGTGACTTCGAGAATGATATGGTTATTCTAATTGTGAAGCCCTCAAGTATGTTCGGTCCATTCATCCTATATTTATAGGAGTATGGCCGAACATCCTTGTTACATTAGGATGGGCCAAATGATCTCTAATTAAATGGCATAAATTAATTACTTAGACCCACTAATTAAATCCTAATTGAACAAACATAAATCTAATTAAATTGAACACAATAAAATATATTCTAACAGAGTCAATCCACCAAGTATTAAGGGGAACTAATGTGTTCAATGACTCATAAATTACATAAGTGGTTAAGTTACCTTTCTTAGTCAACCATGCCTTAAACTTAGGGCACTCCCTCTAGTAATGCCCTTTGAAGCGACAAAACTTACCATATGGACCGGAGCTCACGTTTGCACCTATTTTTTGGACCTTAGAAACATTACTTTTTCCTCCTCCTTGACGATTGCTGATATGCACTAGTTTATAGTGCATAAACGTATGTTTTTATGTTGACTGAGTGTGGATTTTCCATCACTTTTAGTTAGTTTGTAAGTACTTGTTTTATTTTGTTTGTAATTGTTCTCTCCTTCTTTTCGGAGTTTTAGAATAGTGATAGAGTTTGTAGCAAGGAAAAAGGGAGAAAAACTAAAGACAAAAAGACCCAGGAGCACAAAAACCCGACCGGGTCAGAACTTGAACCCGGTCGGGTCAGTTGAGGAACAGATCTAAGAAGAAAAAGTAAGACCCGGTCGGGTCCCATACCCGACCCGGTCGGGTCCCATACCCGACCCGGTCGGGTCAGATATGACCCGGAACACCAGAACATGCTGAAGATCACAAAGATTTTGAAAAAAATCTGATTTAGACCAAACCCGGTCGGATCCCTCACTTGACCCGGTCGGGTCTGACTTGACCCGGGACAAATTAACGTGCTGGAACAATGAAACGTGGGAGATTATCTGATTTTGACCGGTACCCCGGTCGGGTATGTACCTATACCCGGTCGGGTACCCGGCCAAAGGTGTTGAAAAACACCTATAAATAGCACTCTTTTTCTCCTCTAAAAAGCATCCCTTCTTCCAATCTCTTTAGCTCAGTTTAGAATAACATTTCTTTATATTTTTCTAGCTATGTTTAGCCTCCAAATGAGGAGCTAAGCTTCCATTCTTGGTTTTGCTCTTGAAGCTTGTTGATTATTAAAGTTGTGAGTTATTTTCTTAACTTCTTCTCTTGATTATTAATTCTTCCCTTAATCTCATTCTATATTAATGTTGGAGGGTTGCTAAGTGACGATTAGTTAACGTTCCGACATTAATTACTACTAGAAACGATCAACGAACCGATGGTTAATCGTTGGTGGTTTCACAAGTAAGTAACTTCGGTTTATTAATGCACGGTCGTGGTTAATAGACTTAAGAGGGATCAATTTTGTTGGTTAAACCGAAACCGTTGTGTTAAGGTTATCAATCTCAATTGATTTCATCAAGGAGTTAAAAAGATTGAATGCTACTATTATATCGGTATACGGCGTTGTTCTATATTTGATTAATAGTAAGGGTTATTAATGAACGGTCGTTGTTAATAACTACCCTCGATGAATTGGAGATACTCCTCGATTGAGTATTAGAGAGGGGATAAGTTATAGATATAACAAGGATCGACTAAAATATATCAACAAGTGGAAAGTAGCAAAGCCAAGTCCCTTTTATTCTTGAATTAAACACATATAGGTTGTTCATCTTAGTTTCTTAATTGAATTAAATCATTCAAAACCAAAACCCCCCTTTTTATTACTAGTTTCATAGAAAGAAAATCATTCCTTTCCCTGTGGATACGAACTCTACTACGCTATACTACGTATAAGTGTTTAGTATTGAAATTATTTTGATGCACCGTGACAAAAGTGCTCGTCAATTGCATGTCCTTTTCTTTGAGTTTGTGATAGTGAGATGAGCAACATCCGGTTTTTCAACTTTTAGGCGCTCTTCTTCTTGAACATACATAACAATCAACTCGCTCATTGTCCACTTCTCTTTCTGCGTGATGTAATTGATCTTGAATGGACTATAAGATGCAGGTAGAGAAGTCATTATGAAATGAACGAGGAAACCTTCACTGATTTCCATGTCCATACTTTTGAGTTTTTTGGACATATCAGACATTTTCATGATGTGCTCACGAATACCACTCACTCCATCATACTTACTCGTCAACATTTTGAGAATCAAGGTACTAGCATGTGCTTTAGAAGAGCCCTTAAACTGTTCTTCCACATATTCTAGGTAGGTTTTCGCATTTTCTGAGTCTGGAATGACTCCGCGAATAGCTACAGCCTACAGATATGGAATTCTTGATCACCATGAAGCACATTCAGTTGGACCTCTCCCACTGTTCATAAGAACGCTTCTGCTCCAAAGTGCTCTCAGCATTAGGAGCATCCGGGGGATCCATTCTCAGTGCTTGGTCGAGGTCCATCATGCCAAGTGAAAGTTTTAGAGATTCTCTCCATGTTGAGAAGTTTGTACCATTTAGAGGTTCTATCCCATAATTGTATGGGGCAATAGTAGATGCTGAAATAAAAGTTTTAACAGAGGCCATAATAGAAGCTATTTATTATATATAAGGGAATACAATAAGGCATGTCAATTATTAGTAATAAATAAGCCTATTATCAACACCAAATAATAGAAAAAATTCATATCATGTTTAATAACTAACATTGCGTTGGCTAATGCTAACTATCAAACATTATGATATTACAATTAAAATTAGGCTCACAAATAGTGTTACATATCACCTTTGGGCAGAAATATAACACACTTTACGATGCTGAAATTTCATTATACAAGTTATCAAATAACAGACCATTGGGTTTGATAAAAGAAAACTCATATAATTGTTTAAGATAGTCAAAACAAATAATCTTCTATTGGGCTGATCATTGAATTTGACAGTAAGATAACTTTACAACCAATTACTTCTTAAATTGCATATATTCAGAAACAAAGATTCAGATCATACATATCCAATTGTAATAGGTTGTAATCTGCATTTAGAGTTACATTAATCATACATATCCAATTGTAATAGGTTGTAATCTGCATTTAGAGTTACATTGTACATTCTCTAAAATAAATGATCCAAAAGCAAATGGATGTATTACTCTATTAATATTGATGACCTTCGTTATTCATCTTAATCATCAGAAAAGCAAACAAAGTTACATGCATTTTAATAGACTGTACTTGTAACTTAAGTTCATACATTTCTGAAAATCTTAATATATTTACTTTATGTTGATCAACCAAAGTGCAGACGGTTGACAAAAAGATTCATACAAATCATATATGAATTTAAAATGAAGAATAAAACATTATCTATGAATACATACCATAGGTGACAACACTAATACCGGAAATCATCATAGCCGTAATACACTAAATTACAGCACTTTAAAATAGTTCTTTTCAGAAGGATCGTCAATTAAGTAAATTTGGAAAATTGACATCATCTGTTTATTTAGAATCTCATTTTTTTGTTTTAGTTTTATACTCCGTATTAAACAACCGAAATGCATACAAACAGTTTCCAAAAAAACACTGAGTGGAGAATAAGCATCACGTACAATTAAATAGTGTCGTCATTTCATATTCATAACACCATTTATATAAGATACATGGCAACAATAAAACTAAGCAATTAAAAGGACAACCACTGATTGAGAACCCAATGAAAAACAAAAATGTGGAGTTACGGCGGAAATTTTCCTTGAATCCCGAATTCATACTCTTCATTGGGATCGACAGAAATTAAAATTAAGTAGTCGCCCCCACTCAATAGACTTACGGGATTCTCAATCGGGTCGGCAAACGATGAAGGTTATGAATGGCAAACAATTCTCCGAAATTTATCAATAGAAGTGGGAATTAACGGAACCAAGCATTCCAGCCTAGCTGGTCGTAAGGTTACCGTGCCTAGTGTGAGGTCTCGAGTTCGAAACCCGCTAGGCACATAAGGGCTTGAAACTCAATGGAGTGAGTTTCAGTCCTGATTACTCCAGACCCCATCCCTCCTCCCCTAGACGCCCTGTGGAGTAAAAAAAAGTGAGAATTAACGGGCTCAAATACCAAATATTGAGAAAATCAGTCTCAAATAGGATCTAATCTCACTAAACATGATAAAATTCATAGAATCAAACAAAACGAACACTAACCGGTTGAGGAGAAACCGAACGTTGATGGTGGCGTAGAAGATGTCGAAGCCATGACGTTTAGATTTTCTAAGCATACAAGCGGATTTGATGGATTAAACGATCTCTCTTGGGTCTCCTAATATAGGTGTTCTTGAGACATTTGGGAAGAGACGTGTCCAGCCGTTTTAGTCGTAAGAATGGAAACGTACGAGTGTTTTTATCTTGTATCAAAGAGAAACTCATCATATGTTAAAACATACCCATCATATGTTAACTATACATAAATACAAGGACCAAATCTGTCATATGACAAATTTAATGCTAAGATATAAATGTCCCCAAAATATATTAAATTGTATAAATGGTCCAAGGACATTTAAATGGAATATTTTCCAACCAGATGGAGAGGGTAGAGGAAAGAGGTGAGGAGAGAAAAATGAAAACTCTACATGGAGACTCTAATGTTGGGGGTGTATCTAGACTTCAGAACGCGGTTGGGCGAGGATATAATAGGAACACAAATTAAATTAGTCCTATTTAGGTAATAAATTGTAGATAACTCCTGTTGTGTAACTTTTTTAATATCGTAGTCCTATTTACATCAATTTCTTTTTTTAAAATGGGACCAATTGAAAAGTAATGCCAATGCCATATTAAACCTCAAGCTTCCCTTCAACTAAATTTTCTCATATCCATGCACTTCTCCCTCACCAGGTAATTCTCTGTGGAATAGCGGAAGAGACACAAAAAAATTCAAAGAGAGAGAAAGGAAAAATTGCATGAACATTTTGATGCAGTTTCTGTCTACTCCACCCAATTGCACGAAGAATGGAGCGTAAGAGAACTCTGAAGCTGAGCTGGGATGATCTTGGGGGCGGCGAAGACGATGATCAATTCTTTGATCCTCGTGACCGGCTTTCCTGCGCTGTTCCTCTCGATTTGACCACATTGGGTTCAGATGACAGCGAGGATGAGTTCGAAGATAGTCGCCTCTCCCTATCTTCATCGTGCCTTGATGGAATGGAGGATAATAGTAATGATAACAATGAATCTTCATCCATCTCCATGGGTGATTATGGAATGTGGATGGCTGATCCCGGCGACATCAAGGAGCGGCGCAAACGTCTTCTCCAGGGAATGGGTTTGACAAGCAACAAGGATCTTCTCGTCAAGGTCGCAAGTTCTAAGATTGCCAGAGCGATTTCCAGAAAGCCTTCCCATCTCCTGAAGAAAGATTCCTCTTCGTCGAAACCGAAACCCCCGACCAAAGATACACATAAGCAAGAAACGGACCCCGACCCGGCTTCTTTCGGGTTTTCTCCCCGAGCAGAGGAGAAACCGCCGGCAGGAGTGGGGGCAGAGTATACACATGCAATGCCCGTCATTCTGGTCCGGTCAAGATCCGATGGCGATATAGACTCCTTCGCCGCTGAAACAAAAAGGAGGAAAGAAGAGATAATCGGTCCAGTATCGAAACAACGGCTAACAAGAACATTATCAGGGTTGACATCATCCAGAACCGGCGGAATGGGGCAGATCGCCGGTCCGATCATAGTCACACAACCCAAGAAGTGGAAAAAAACCAGACGACAGACGATGCAAAACAGCATGGCTGACGAATGCATCGGTTCGTTCTTCTTGATAAAGAATCTTGACACCGGGAAAGAGTTCATTGTGAAAGAGTGTAATGAAAATGGGATGTGGAATAAGTTAAGTGATCTCCAAACCGGGAAGCAACTGACCATGGAGGAATTCGAGAAGCATGTGGGACACTCCCAGATGGTTAAAGAGTTGATGCATCGTGCACATGGAGGGCGAAGAAGCGATGGTAAGATCAACATGAATTCCTATATTAGCAAGAGCTTCAGGTATAGCAAGAAAACAAGTGTTGCTCTTATGAGGAACATTAAGGGCGTAGCGAATTCCATGAGCAGTTTCAAGATCTCAGAGAAAGAACGGGACAACCTCTCATTACAGGGGGATGATCAGAAACATAAGAAGAAGAATAGCTCTTCTTCTTCTTCTTCTTCTTCTTCTTCAGAGTGGATCAAAGTCCAGCAGCAAGGGAAAACCTACAAGGAATTCACTGGTTTGCAGTTGTGTCAAGAAATCCAAGCGCATGAGGGGTCAATATGGGCCATGAAGTTTAGTCAAGATGCACGTTACTTAGCAAGTGCGGGAGAAGACAGAGTGATTAATGTGTGGGAAATGCAAGATGTGGAGGTTATTAGAGCATGGGAAGAACGTGGAAGCAGCACGCCTCTTCACCCATCGCTTGTGGGAAACCTGCAGAAGGCGGGTAAGAGTTCATCAACTAAAAAGAAAGATAGTTTGATTCCAGATTATGTGAACATGCCTGAAACTGTATTTGCTTTCTCGGAGAAACCTGTTTCCACTCTCACTGGCCATCAAGATGAAGTACTCGACCTCTCATGGTCAAAATCTCAGGTCGGTACTCGACCTGATCTCATGGTCAAAATCTCTCCAAATCTTAGCTAGCTAGTATATTATTGAAGATTTTACTTTTGTTGTTTTCTCGATCGCAGCTTCTGCTTTCGTCTTCCATGGATAAAACTGTGAGGCTTTGGGACATCGAAACTCAAAGTTGCCTGAAAATGTTTGCACACAATGATTATGGTGAGAAGCACGAAAAAAGACATTGTAAAAAAACAAAAATTCATCAAAAAGTACGTACAGTTAGATATTGTGTGTGACAATTAAGTGGTGCCTTGGGGTTGGATGCAGTAACATGCATACAATTCAATCCAGCAGATGATGACTACTTTGTCAGTGGTTCACTGGATGCTAAGGTTCGGATATGGAATGTGCCTGGGAGGAGAGTTGTGGACTGGACTGATCAAAAAGATATGGTCACTGCCACTTCCTATACCCCTGATGGTGAGGTAATTATGCATGCTACTTGTAACAAAATGATAAAACTGTATGTTTTACTTTGGGACATTCTTATTTATTGGATGACTTTTGTTATCTAAATAAGAGTAATTACTGTTATGTTTTAATATTACCAGACTTTAAACATGACAGTATTTTGCATCATTAGATAAAATGAAGTATAAGAGTGCTCTTGTTCATCCATTCAACCTTCACTCTAGCTCTTTTTTTAGAAAATAAAAAAAACTAAACCTATTTAGACAAACACCTACTTTCCCCGTTTTTTTAGTTGCAACATTCACATTTTCATGTTTGCCAAGACACAACTTTGGTTGCATTATATTTAATTCTCTATTAGTAAAAAATAATTAAAAATCAGATTATGAAATTTATACTGAGGCAAATTCAACAATATTTTTCTCACGTCAATAAATAAAATCTAATCAAAGTAGTGTAAATTGTTCCATGTTACCACTAAAAAGAAATGGATGATAGTATATTGCAAGAGAAACTATCCAAATAAAACAATGAAGTAATATAAAACTTGTTTTAATCTTTTCTGCTTTTTTATTTTGTATTTGGAAGGGTGTTATCATTGGTCTTCAAAAAGGGAGTTGTCGGCTGTATAGAATCACTGGTAAGAACATGCTTCTCTAATTTGTATGCATGTAATTGATATACCTTTGCCAGACAAAAATTATTACTTCAACTCTTAGCATTTGATACATAGATTGCAAACTAGAACAAGAAGAGCAATTCGATGTTGATCCAAAGAAGAAATCCCAAAATAAAAAGATCACTGGTTTTCAGGTATTCTTTTTTTTATTTGGGAACAGTTGCATAAAAGACTATGTAATACGAGGCTTACCTAGAATGTTACTCACAAAAATTATGAATAAAGTGTGATAAAAGTTACTATGTGGCTATGTGCATAACTTTATGATCCCTATGATATGAAATTAAACACAATATTAATCATTTAAAGTTTTAAATATATTCACTTTGTATAAGAGATCATATTTTTTGCACATGCTCTTTATTTTAGTCATATACATGTCATTATTTTTTGTAATTTACCCAATAGAAAGCTGAGATTCATTTGTTCACAGTTTTCCGAATCAAATCCTTCAGAACTGCTCATCACCTCTGCAGATTCTTATGTTCGGATCCATGATGGAACAAACTTCTCCCAAAGATTCAAAGGTACAAAAAATCTATACTAGTATATTGAGAGATTTAGAGTTCCAGTATAGTATAAAAGGTCTACCGTATAGGAGATAGAAGTTTTCATGTTTATTATAATAATATATTACTCATTATTTACTAAATAATGAGTAATATATTATTATAATAAAGATGTTGGATAAAAATGTGACTTTTAACGTACACCTACAACAGTAGTGACTTTTGTTGACTGTGAACTTTACCTAGTACTGATCATAATGTTATACGATAATAACATTAGTCACATTTTTTGTTTCACTAATATTTTATGAAAAACTCTCAGTTCTTTATATAGTGGAAGTGAAACGTACTGTTTATACAGTACGTAAAAAATAAAATTTATACAAAATTACATTATACGTAGGACTAAATAGGAAAAAGTAAATCATATTCTTCTCTAAATATGAGCAAAGTACTGTCATCATTAATTTAAAGTGAATGATCTAAATGACTGTTTGATTTCAAGATATTAGTACTTTCTTCCTATGTAGACAAAAAACCAACTATATATATTCAACTTCCATTCATAGAAATCTCCCAAATTTATATTGAGGATTCATGACCATTTGCATGGAACAGGTGCCAAAATCACATGCAGTCAAATTTCAGCTTCATTCAGTCAAGATGGGAAATATGTGATATGTGCAAGCGAAGATTCCCAAGTGTACGTGTGGAAAAGAGAAGAAGTAAGAGGAGGCAAAGGAAGATGCCTTACAATCCAAGCTCATGAGCACTTCCCATGCAAAGATGTTTCAGTTGCCATCTCATGGCCTGGAAGGGCAATGAAGAATAATAATGAACCATTTGTGGAGATGGGTGGTTCCAAAAGGCATCAATCAAACCCCTCCTCGCTTCCACCCCTATATCCGGCAAGCAAGAAGAACAATTTGCCTCCTCTACCTAATAAGAAAAATGATGCAATGCTAGAAACAGTTTCAAGTAATCATCATCACCATCATCATCATCTTACGGAAGAAGCGGATGAAGACGAATCGTGCTCTGATCAACCTTCAGATGTAGATTCGTCTTCTATTTCTACTTCTTGCAATGAATCAACTCCTTCTCAATCTCGACGGTTTTCCTCCTGCTCCTTGAATCTTCCCGAAGAAAGTGGCAACACCCAACAAGGAGGCGGAGGAGGTAGTAACGCTGTTGTCCAAGCAACAGCATGGGGTATGGTGATTGTGACAGCAAGTTCTGGGGGAGAGATAAGGGTGTATCAGAATTTTGGGTTACCTGTTAAGGCCAATCGTCAGACCAGTCTCTTTATTACATAGTACATGCAAAATCATGCAATTCTGGATGCATTTTGTTCTAATACAGACATGTTTTATTGCATAATTTGGTTTAGAAAGATATGAAAACATTGTGCTAGCTAGCTTCTTGTAGGTAACGCGTGCCCATTAATGCTTGATTTTAAAAGGATAATGATTCCTAATCTACTACTTAATTGGTAGAAATGGTTACAGATAACACTAAAATATACACTATGTAACAGCCCGACCCCATAGGGTCCGAGGTCGTTACACTTAAATGCCCTCCAAACCTAGTATTGTCCTCACAAATGAACACAAACTTTTTATCTCAGACTTTGTCCTCACTAGTGCACACCCTGAGAAACTTCTCGGGAGGACCACCCATCGCAAGATGCTTCCTTGGAAGCACGCTTAACTTGAACTTCTTAACAGATGAGTTCCCTTAAAGGGAGATAATCTCATTGATATGAGTAATACTATTAATCCTTTTAAACTAATCTCAAATATTACAATTCCCCACACTTAAGAACGCAACATTCTCAGTGCGCCCATAAACTAATCTCAATCAAACCTTAGAATCATCCCTTGGTCAGTGCATGTCCGATATCCACCAGATCATCACATTGTCGCATGGTTGCTCTCATACCACTTGTTAATACTTGAGATCAGTTTAAATCAACTTTCCTATCGTGTTTGACAAACCTTATGATTCATATTCTTGATCCTTTGCATATGTCCCAAACCATAGTGCAATACTTGAGATCAATTTAAAAGGATTAATAGTACTACTCATACCAACAAAGTGCATAGGTGACCCCCAAGGATTAATGCATCTCCTTTTAAGGAGGCTCATCAGTTAAAAACTCCAAGTTAAGCGTGCTTGCACGAGAATAGTCATGGAATTGGTGACCCCAGTGAAGTTTCTCGATCGGGGCGTGCATGAGTGACGAAAAAGTGCGCATTTAAGACTTGCGTTGATTTATGGAGACAATACTAGAGATCTGAAGAGTAACTACCTCAACCCCGTGAGGTCGGGGTGTTATAGTGACGGCACCAAATCAGTAACATTAATGACTCCATTATAATTTTATCCAAATTAACCCATTAATGAAAAAGCACTACCAACCTACTCGCGGCCACAAGTGCAGTCATTGGAATACTAGGCCACAACTATGCGAACTCAAGCGGTCCCTATAACACTAGTACCCTAGCCGTTGTAACGGGAGTCATAGCTGTTGTCACAGGAACCTTATCTGCGGTCACCGAAGCGTAACTCTAGTCATAATGACCGGACATTATGAACAAATAATAACTAAATACTCCATCCGTCCCAAATTATTTTGCAAAGTCAACATTTTTTAATCAGCTCATAATAAAATTCAATACTCTCTATTGTTAATTAATTCAATTTTTAATTAAAATATACATATTCAGAAACTACATTGAAATATCTTCAAAGTTACAAACTCCAAACTACAATATAATTAAAAATTAACATCCTAATTAAGTAAACAAAATCAAATTATTTGACTAAGGAAAGTCAAATTTGCAAATGGATGTAGATAGAAGGTTCTACGTCCCATTAGAATGTTCCCGGTTTGACCTACACACATATTAAAGAAATAAACTTACCAGAGGGTAAATTTTACTCTTTTGATACCTTTTCGACACTGTTTCGACACTTTTTGACACTGTTTGACAATATTTTACACTGTTTGACCCTGTTTTGATGTAGGATAACTTTCCATTTAGGAAAATGAAAACTTTTCGATGGAACATCCAAAAAAGGAAAACGGAAACATTCCAATGGGACGGAGGAATATTTATTACACCATGAAAAGAATATAAACAACTTTCTATTAGGGAGTAATTTATATCTTGTGCCCATATCTCTACTACGTGGTGTAGACTTTGACCAGTGTTCTAAATTGCGCCGCCTAGGCTTACCTAGGCATGATGCGCTGGATATATGCCTCACATGCACCATATTCACGGTGAAAGGGCCTCCCATATGAGTTGTACCTACACTGTCAAATGCACCTATTTTTCTGGTGTGGAACTTCGAATTGGAAGCGTGAAATGTAAACAAAAAAGTAAGGGGTGGGCATGATCCGGAATGGTCCGGTAAATTGGTAAAACTCGTAATATATCCGTGAGGTTTTAACGGTCCGGTACAGTCCGGTTCCAAGGATAGAACCGTTCGGTACCATGTCGTTTCGGAACGGTACAAAACGGTACGGTACAATGCCAAACACGTGCTAAATTTTTTGAACAAATCTTACGATTAGTAAATATTATCACACCAACCAACTCACATGAAATGTTGAAATAAATACAAGAAATTGCATACATAGTACTAAAATTCACAAATACACAAATAGTGCAACACAACTAAGAAAAAATATAGCAAAACGATGATGCACGAGATAAATATCATTTTTAATTTACTAAGTTCATGTGAAAATATAAAAACGAATATCATCAAATTGTTGAATATAATAGAAATCTTCAACATTCTTCTTCTTCGTTCTAGGTTAAATATTACTCTGTAGTTCTAATTTAATTTATAGTTGAACCTTGAAAGCTAAGATTTAAACCATATTAATTAATTTGTAAAAAATGCACAAACATGATACAACAAAAAAGTCATGTACACTACATTACTAGAAATAAATAATCATTAATGATTTCTAAAAATTTAATATTCTTTCAATACATACCAAAATATAACATAAATTATCTAAAAAGAAAAACTATATATATATATATATATATATATATATATATATATATATTTATACCCTTATATATAAAGTGTGTAAGAAAGTTAGTTTCGTTGTTTATACGTTGCTACAGTGCAACGGAATAGACTACTTTTACGTCCGTCTCTGCTAACTGAAGTTTTCCGTTTTGTGCCCTCTCATTTGGGCAAGCACATTGACACCTGCCCATAAATGTCGCAGTAGCTATTTAGTCGGTTAATTGAGGCGATGCAGTGAAAATATCTGCCTGACACGAGAAGACCACCACGATCCCACGCCTTATCCCTATGTGCAGCCGATTCCTACAAGAAGACCACCACGATCATTTCATCCGGAATACCGTCCTTTGGGTTCTCCAATTGTTCTTCCGTCATTGTGAGTCATGTTCTTCTTCTTTTCTTTGTTTATTGCTGCTGCGCCTGCCCTTTTCTTAGTTTTTTTTTAACGGTGCGGCTTATGTTCATTACTTTGGCTCTCTGATTTTGATTTCAGGCAGTGTGATTTCTTGAATTTTGATATTCCCCTCCCTGTCGCACATACACTCCATTTGTCACTTTGTTTATATGCACATAGAACTGTGTGCTTACACTGTGTTGTGAAGTTTGTATTTCAATTTCCCATAAATGTTTTGAAGTGCATAGGGATTACATGTGAGTGCTTCGAAGATTTTGAATTTTGAATTATTTTCCCCTAAGAAATCTACCCAGTCAGTCAGATTGTTTGTGCCTTGCTATTCAAGGAAGTATCGATTTTTTTACCACATGAACCGCTCTGTATGTTGTACTTACCCTATGTTAACTTCAATTTGTATGTATACTTAACGCCGGATTATGTTATTTGGCTACACGTCTTGCGTTGAATTTTTTTTTTATTCTTTCGAAATGTGTCTATACTGTTTGTGTTTGGGTTTCCCATAATTTTTTTTTGATTTATAGTATTTTGTATTCACGCTGTTGAATTTTGATGTTTTTTCGCAACTGACATCTACCCACAAATAACTAATAAGGCATGCTTTAAAGAATGTTTTACAGTAACTGGAGAAATTCTCAATTGAAACTTTTAATGAACAATTACGGCTGTGTCTGTCACCTTAAATTGATCTGATATAAAAACTGATTTCACATTAATTTGTGTGCTTACATTAATACTGTAAGTACACAAACAATTATGTCTGTACCTGTCGCAATGCTGCATATTTTATAATCAAACCTGAAATTACACGTTTAAAAGTTGTGTTTGCACATCAAACTTTGTGTTTGCACTTCCTTGACTTGAATTTGTATGTACAATGAAGGTCAGATGATGTTATTTGGCTACCTGTCTTGCGTTGAATTGTTTGCCTGGCCTTTCTAAATCTGTCTCTAATGCTTGTATTTGGATTTCCCATAAATTTTGTTTATCTACATCCAATTGCACACAGTTGCTTCCAGAATTTTAAATTTTGAGTTTCCCCCCACAAATGTTTTAGTTACACACAAATCCCAGTTTGTTTATCTAACTAAAGATGGATGTTTTGAAGAATGTTTTACAGTAATGGCGTAAGAACAGTTTGTTCTCTTAATAACATTATTATTTGTCAGTTTGTTTGTATGCACGTCAGACTGTGTATTTGCGTTATCTTAACTTCAGTTTGTATCTACACTGCAAGTCAAATGATGGACCATCCGAAATCTTTATGTGATGTTTGTATTTGGATTTCCCCTAATTGCTTTTTCCTGCTTACAATTGCATGCAAGTACTTCCAGGATGTTGTTTTTTAATTTTTTAATCCTTTATGTTTGATTTTATTTTTTTAAAAAGTCATTGGCAGTCACTACGCTTATCTCCGATTTGGATATTGTTGACGTTTCATATGGTTTTTTGTTTTTACCTCATCATTTTGTAATTTCATTATGATGTTGAGTCTTTGTGTTTCTCTCTGTATGTTAACAGATCCTGCTGGCACACTACGTCATTTCCTGAAATTGTGGGTATTTTATTCTTACATCCATACATTCTAACCTTCTTTTCAACTGGCAGTTATTATCCACATGTTTGTACCTTGTTCATTATGTATCATTACATATTCATCGTTTAATGTTGAATATACATCGTTACATGTTCATAGTTACATATTTTCCCGATTATATTCCTTCATCAATGTGTTTCTATATGTTAACTACTATTGTTGCATTGAATTTCTCGTATATTCCTGGTTGTAATCATTGAAGAGGTATCTCACCTTGGTGGTATCTCTTAGTGGTCCTTTTAATCTAGGCATTGGGAACATAGTGGCTATTGGCTGTGTTGTGTGAATTTGTTCCTTTTCCACTTTACCTGTTTTCAATTTTTTCCCCTCACACCTCGAACATAACTTTTTTTTGTATACTTTGCTAATTCCC